CACCATTTATGATACCTGCGAGGAAAGAATAAACAAACTACACATGATGGGAACTCTAAAATAAAACTGAAAAATCAGGCAATGTCCAGCAGGACCGTCAGTATCCAAAACTATCACATCAATACAATAGAGTTACATCATAAGGAGCTTGAGTCAGAACATAGATTCTGTCTCCTCTCTGTTTAAATGCTGACCGTGTTGTACTGAGGGTAGACACACAATAAGGTCACATGAGTAGAACTCAGGAGTGGGAAGGGTGCAATCACGTTGATGGGATTGTACTACATGCCTTCCAACAACCAGCAGCTGATAGAGCAACAGATATGCACACGTATTATGGAAAAATGTGAAAACAATAGGATTGTTGTGGTGAGTGATTTTAACTACCGTTATTGACTGGGACTCACTTAGGGCCAGGGACTTGGATGGAGGTGAATTTGTTAGGTGTATTCAGGACAGTTTTTTGAAGCAACATTTAAATAGTCCAGGTGTAGAGCTGGATGAACACAGCAGGCCAAGCAGCATCAGGAGAGCAGGAAGGCTGACGTTTCAGGCCTAGACCCTTCTTCAGAAATTTTTCTGAAGAACAGTCTAGGCCCGAAACGTCAGCCTTCCTGCTCCTCTGATGCTGCTTGGCCTGCTATGTTCATCCAGCTCTACACCTTGTTATCTCAGATTCTCCAGCATCTGCAGTTCCTACTATCTCTGATTTAAATAGTCCAACTAGGGAAGGAATTGGGGAATGAGTCCCGACAGGTCATTCAAAAAGTTTCAATGGGACCAGTGACCATAATGCTGTAAGTTTTAATTTACTTCTGCATAAGAACGAGAGTAGTGAAAGTACTAAACTGGAGGGTGGGAGGGAGGGGGGTGGGGCCAACTACAAAATATTAGGCTGGAAGTGGATAATATAGATTGGGGGCAGCTGTTTGAGGGTAAATCTACATCTGGCATGCAGGAATCGTTTAAAGGCCAGTTGCTTAGTTTCAGGACTAGCATGTTTGTGAAAATGAAAGGCAAGGATTACACTATTCAGGAACCTTGGATAACAAGCAAAATTGAGACCTTAGTCAAAAAGGAGGAGGCATATGAAAGGTGTAGAAACGAAGGAAAGAGCCCCTCAAAGAACATACAGATAGCAGGAAATAACTCAAACAGGGAATTGAAGGGTTAAAGGGGCCAGGAAATTTGACAAACTGTACTAAGGAAAATCCCAAGGCGTTTTATGCATATAGAAGGAGCAAGAGAAAGGGTAGGTCCACTCCAGGACAAAGGAGGGAATTTATGCTCGAAGCTGGCGGAAATTTGTGAGGTCCTAAACAAATACTCTGCATCAGTATTCACAAAGAAGGACATGATGGATGGGGAATCTAGAGAGGGGTATGTTGATATTTGGGGGCATGTCAATATAAAAAAAGGTGTTGGGTGTTTTTAAAAGTATTAAAGGTAGACCACTACCCATAACCTAATGGAATCCATCTCAGAATGTTGAGGGAGGCAGGTGAGGAAATTGTTGGGGTCTTGTACAAAATCTATGTATCCTCTTCAGTCACAGGAGAGGTCCCAGAGGGCTGGAGAATAGTCAATGTTCAGATGTTTAAGAGCAACAGGGATAAGCCGGGAAATCATAGGCCAATAAGGCTTAGGTCAGTGGTATGGAAATTATTGGAGAAGATTCTTAGGGATAGGATTTACTGACATTTGGAAACATATGGACTTATTAGCGATAGGCAACATGGGTTTGTGCAGGAAAGATGGTGTCTCACAAACGACATTTTTTTGAAGAGAGAGAAAGACGATTGAAGGAGGTAGGGTGGTGGACGTTGTTTAAATGGACTTTAGTAAAGGTGTTGACAAAGTCCTTCATGACAGGCTGATACAAAAGGTGGTCACATGGGACTAATGGTGAGCTGGCAAAGTATGACTAAGCCAGTTCTGTAACCAGAGACAGAGTAGTGATCGAAAGATGTTTGTCTGGCTGGATATCTGTGACCACTGGTGTTCTGCAGAAATCAGTGATGGGACCCCTGTTGTTTGTAATATAAACATAGGAGAATGTATGTGGCCTGATTAGTAAATTTGTGGACAAAGATTAGGAGAGCTGTGAATAGTGAGGTCGATTTCCAGAGGCTACAGCAGGATATAGACAGGCATATAGATAGTCTGGAGACTGTGGCAGAAAAATGACAGGTAGAGTTTAATCTGGACAAATGCAAGGTGATGCATTTTGGAAGGTCGAATGCAGGAAGGAAGTATGCAATAAATGGCAGAAATCTTAGTAGCATCAACATGCAGAGGGATCTAGGCATAGAGGTCCACAGTTCCCTGAAAGGACGTGTATGGCACGCTTGCCTTTGTTAGTCAGGGAATGGAGTATAAAAATTGCCAAGTTATGTGGCACCTGTGTAGAACTTTAATGAGGCCACATTTGGAATATTGTGTACAATTTTGGTTGCCACACTACCAGAAGGATGTGGAGGCTTTGGAGAGTACAGAAATGATTCACCAGGATGTTGCATGGCTTGGAGGGTATTGACTGTGAGGAGAGATTGGACAAATTTGCTTTTTTGCACTTGAACATCAAAGGATGAGGGGTGACCTGATAGAAGATTAGAAAATTATGAGAAGCATGGATAGAATGAATTGTCGGAGTCTTTTTCTTAGAAATATCAATTACTAGGCAACATAAGTTTAAGATAAAAGCGGTAAAAGTTTAAAGGAGATGTGCAAGGTAAGTCTTTTATGGAGGGTGGGAAGTGCCTGGAACATGCTGCCGGGAGTGCTGGTAGAAGCAGATACAATAGCAGTGTTTAAGAGGCATTTTGACAGATATGTGAACGATGTGGTGGGGGTCGGAATACAGGGATATGGACCATGTGCAAGTAGATGGGATTAGTTAAGAGTAGCATCATAGTCAACACAGGATGGTAAGTGCCTACAATGCACTGCCAGAGGTGGTGATGGAAGCAGATACAATAGCAATATTTCAGAGGCATCTTGACAGATACATGAATACGCAGAGATCAGAGGGACATCAACCACGTAGAGGCAAAAGCTTTTTAGTTTAGAAAGGCATCATGCATCAGCATAGTCTGGTGGGCCAAAGAGCCTGTTTCTGTGCTGTACTGTTCTTCGTTCTTATCTACTTCTGTTGTCACTTTCAGAAAGCTATGGATTTGTAACCCAAGATCTCTCTATAGATCACAGCTTCTACATGTATCCACTCCTGAATTTTATAGTTGGCGTTTCACATGCTCACCTAAAGTGACATTGGCATCAATTCTGAGCCTGACACTGTAGTTGAAGAGTCTATCAACACATGCTGATCTTATTGATTCCTCATTCCCTTTCAGATAGTGCCTGCCAAGCTGCCTTCTTACAGTAATGTGAAGTGTGCCTGTCGTTGGTCAGTCTAATGGACACATTCAGCTCCCACCTGACCAAGGGACCAGAAGTGAAGAACAAAAACGGCCCATGTTTACAGACTGTCCCTATGATTACAAATCTCCAATGTTTAACATCAGCATGAGGTATGGTCACGTTAAAATTGAATCAGTGGAAGCCACAATAACAGACAGTGCACTGAAGCATTGTTGTGATTTTTTTCCGTTCATTCATGGGATGTGGACACTGGCTAGTCCAGCAATTATTGCCCAGCCCTAGCTAACCTTGAGAAGATGGTGCTGAGATGCTGTTTTTGAATCACTGTAGTCCTTGTGTTGTAGGTAGACCCAGAATGTTGTTTGCGAGGAGTATCCCAGGATTTTGACCTAGTGAGTGAAGGAACAGTGATGTATTTCAAAGTCAAGATGCTAAGTGGCTTGGAGTGCAACTTGTAGGTGGTGTTGTTCCGTTGTCCTTCTTGATAGAAGTGGCCATGGGTTTGGAAGGTGCTGCATAAAGTCTTTGATGAATTTCTGCAGTGCATCTTGGAGATAGTAGTTGCAGTATGTACTGAGTGTTGGTGATGGGGAGAGTAGATGTTTGTGGATGTGGTAGCAATCAAGTGGGCTGCTTTGTCCTGTGTGGTATCAAGCTTGAATCTTGTTGGAGCTGCACCCATCTAGGCAATTGGCTGTATTCCATCACACTCCTGATTTGTACCTTGTAGATGGAGGACAGGTTTTGGTGAGTTACTCACTTCAGGATTCTGATCTTGTAGCCACTGTGTTTTTAATCATAGAATCTCGAGTGTGGAAAGAGGCCACGCGGTTTAGAGTCCACACTGGTCCTCTGAAGAGCATCCTGCCCAGACCCAGCTCCCTACCCTATCCCTGTAACTCCAAATTTCCCATGGCTAACCCACCTAGCTTGCACATCCCTGGACACTATGGGCAATTTAGAATGGCCAATCCACCTAGCCTGCACATCTTTGGCCTGTGGGAGGAAACCGGAGCACCAGGAAAAATATCCATGCAGACATGGCAAGAATGTGCAAACTCCACTAAGAGTCACCCAAGGCAGGAATCGAACCCGGGTCCCTGGTGCTGTGAGGCAGCAGTGCTAACGACTGAGCTGCTGTGCCACCACCAATATGGCCAGTCCAGTTTAGTTTCTGGCCAATGGTAACCCCCAGGATATTAATAGTACAGGATTCAGTGATTGTAGCATCATTAAATGTCAAGGGCTGATCAGTAGATTGTCTCTGATTGGAAATTATCATTGCCTGACATTTGTGTGGCGCAAATGTTTTGCATCTGATGCAAGCTGTATTTCTGTACAGCCTGGAACTCATTGGGGGAAACAACATGGTCCAATGCAAACTGATAGCAGGGGCTAGCATGAGAATTTCTACCTGTCCCATATTCAGTAGCAACTACAAATATGGGTTACCAGCTAAAAACAAAGTTTACAAGTCTAAAGAGTTAATACAATCTAAATAAAACAGTTGTGATTTGGATGCACTAAATCACTGGCTTCAAGATGGAATAAATGTTGCATCTTTTTTTTCATAACTTATAATAAGTAAATGTACACAGAAGAAAACAATTTACAGCATCAACTGTACTGAAAGTAGCAATTTTTATTTGAGTTAAAATTATTTACAAGTAACCAAAGACATACTTCATGAAACTGGTACAAACTCTATTTCCTGCCATTTGGCTTTTACTCTGAAAGATTGCAACTGAGAAATACTGTATAAAATAAAAATAGGATCAGATTCTGAAAAGTATTTCTACCATTCTAAATTTCCAATTGTCAATATTTACACAATTATTTACAAGAAAGTCATTTAAAATTTATTTCAAACTCATTCTGATTCGGCCCTCGCATACCCTTTGCAGTCATGTGATTATTACACCTGAATGGAATGAGAACAATTGAAGTGTAGATACTGGAGTTTTACTCCTGTGAAAACTCCACAAGGAACTGTGCAGAGAGAGTGCTGCCACTGCATCTTGGAGGAAGTGGCTGTAATATCATGTGGTACTGCATCAGAAGTAACTTCCACCTCAAAATACTGCAGTTACAGCTTTTATTCACAAAACTACCACCAAACATTTGTCACATTGAAACAGGCGAACATGCCAAAGGGCAGCTGAATCCTGATAAATGCACATTTAGAAGCCTATGAAATTTTCTGCATAAATACTTAGGATATATTGGAAGTCTAAAAACAATAGGAAAATCCCCCAATTTCACTATAGCAGTTTCTCCCATTCTAATTTTCGTGAATTGGGAGGACTGGATTGTAGAATTGGAGTTACACAAGGCCAAAATCAACACGGCCTTGCTGAGGAATAAACTCTTTGGAGATCATCCCAGTTTTATCTGCCCCTCCTAGTAAAACAAAACCTTTTCAGCATTTCTCTGCTGAATGTCAAGTGGTTGAAAAGCAAACTCTGAATTATGTTCAGAAACAAAAATAGATTGCTGGAAAAGCTCAGCAGGTGCGGCAACATCTGTGAAGAGAAATCGGAGTTAACATATCGGGTCTGGTGACCCTTCCTCAGAACAGAGCTAAAACATTAACTCTGATTTCTCTTCACAGAAGTATGTTCAATACCTGACTGTTGGGGGACTTAAAACATTGGCTAGGTCTCAATGTAATGTTTAAGATGAACCCTTTCTCCTTCCCCAAACTGCCAGAGTCATGCACCATCACCACACAGCAGGCTCCCAAACCCCATCAACCTTAAACCAAGAAATGCCATGCAGTTCAGCATTTCCAAACTGCATGTCCCAACTGCTTGTTCTAGTAATGATTACATTCATACATAAACAAACACTCTGTATGTTAAGTAATAAAACCAGACAGTGAGAAAAATTGTGTAGATCAGTTATTCTATAAAGTAACCATGTAAAATATGTGGCATTATGCAATTCTACTCTTATCTCAAGGATGCATTTATCTGGAGACAACTGTCCAAGTCCCTAAGCCTAACAACTGTAAGAGGCTATAAAGAGGGGTTATGCAGGTTTTGTGAATTTAATTAATAGGCACAGATTGCTAAAAACATATGTCATACCACATAATGGATTTGTGGTTAATGGAAACATACATTTATTGGACACATTATTTTAGTTATCAACTCATTGCAAATATGTTGTATCCATGTGTAAACAGGAATATCCTGATAAATGGGATTGTTTGATTCCAATTCAGATTTCCAAAACAACTGGCTTAAGTTTTCAGATTTGCTGATTGGCATGTTTCGAAAATGAAAATGGTTTTTCCAGTTGTTGCATACATGATCAATGAATAAAGTGTGAAGAAACAAGTAGACAGGCCAGATCTTTTGTTAAAAAATATGCTCTGATTTCAACGCGTTCTGAATCAATGAGCAATGCAGGTATGATAAATAGTATATAAAGATTGTGCATATTTTCAAGGACAACAATTTACTGCATTACTTTTGATTGCAGGCAAACTCAAAATTGTAATTGTCTTGGAAACAGGACACTTAGTAAAGCTTTAGCAAATGATAAATTTGAGGAAAATGGGTATTGGAATGATTCCACTCATTGGAGGCTGAATACTCATGATCAGGCTACAATGGTTTTTGTTAACATTTTTATCATCTGCTTTGATGCATTTTAGTTTAAACATTTCTGTCAGAATTTCTGAAAAGACAGGATCAACTGCTGACTCAAATCAATTCTATTTCCTTCAGTACACCAAGCATCTCTAGCAGAAAACTGAAGTGAACAGGTAGAACTACGAGAGGCCACTGTTGGTAACAGCCAGCTATTGTGATGGAGATTGGCCCATTAGCCTCACGGCAGGCAACACCAGTTTAAAAGCATCACTTAGCAGAATCTGCCAACATCTTCCACTCCAAAACCATACTTAATTGCGCTTTATCAACTGAGGCCAAAGTTTTCAGTGAATATTTCAGCTTGTCCTCCCCTTTGTGGAATGATTTGAAAACCCAAACTTTCCACTTTGGTTTATTTTATATCAATATACTTCTAATTTACATAAATACTCCAAGGCCCATTTGTTAAGGCATTTATGTCCATAAATCCCCACCAATATAGTAATTACAAGGCCCCAAACCTTCTATAAATAAACGAACAGAAGGGCTAATGGCCCACAGGAACTTCAGCTTTTATAAAAAAGTCAAATTGAACAGATAAGGAATACAATTGTAAAACCAGACTAAATGTAAAGATGAAAGGGACAGAATTGACTGAGCTACCAGATGGGTCTGCTTTTGAGTTTTTGTACAAAAGAGGTTCCTCCATTCCCAAAGCAAGACCAAAAGAAGGGAGTATGAAGGAGGAGCAGAGAAACCTCAGGCTAGTGCCACCAGACGAGAATGAAGTATTAGTCTACACTGATAATCCCAACCAAACAAGGACCCACCTACACAACCATTTCCCATCAAATTATTCACAAAATGGCAGGGAAGCAAGAAAAAGTAAAGTAAAATAAAACTGAACGTGTGAAACAGTTGTTAAAATCAGTGACATTCTCCATCTCTCCTGGACAAACAATCATAGTCACCAAATCAAACATTCAATAGTTGATATGAAGAATCTGGAGCCAACTTCCAATTTATGATGCTGTCAGACCTGCTGAGCTTTTCCAGCAACTTCTGTTTTTGTTTCAATTTACAGCATCGTTCTCAGTTCCCAAACTCATTGAGCATCAAGATCAACTTTATGTGAAGTAAATTCAAACCATGTCTGATCACCTAGCAGCATAGGAAGTAGAATTAAAAGTTTCAATGCAAATCTGAACAAGAACTTTTGACTTGACCATGTCATTATCAATTCGATTGCAGTATTAAGGTAACACCGCATTTCAAGATTGACTTTACTGAATCTATTTTCCGAAGGAGTGAAGCACTTTTCATTCATCTACAATAAAAGTACATTTTTGCCCAGTGTGCATACAAGTTAGCCAGGGTCAACTGTCCAACTTTAATAGTCCAATTTGATAAGTGGTAGGAAGACAAAATTCAAGGGAATGTCTGAAATGCAGAAATTGAGAGACAGTTACGGCCATAATACCATGAACTGGTCCGACAATCTACACTTCACCAGGAAGATCTCTTTCCAGCCCAGATATCATCTGACCATTACTTTCAAAATCAGAGATGGAGTGCAGATAGCAATTTTAACTCAATAATATTTATCAATGTCTCCCCCATCTTCATTTAATTTGAAGACTAGCAATAACTCAATGTTACAATGTTCAGGATTGGAGCACTGTAATGCTACAAAATTGTGGCACACTGGCTTGGTTTAGATTTTGTACATAGTTGCAAGCAATCCTACAGATTAACAATTCCTCGAAAAGGATGGACATCACATGATTTTAAACATTCCCATCAGATGATGAACATAGAAAATAGGATTCTCCAAAGGCAATAACTGATTAGGGGAAGTGGTACCACACAACATAAAACTCCAACACTTGCCTAAAATCAAAGCTGGCTGCAGCAGATAGAAATATACTCATCAAAAGAACCAGTGTTGAATAGCTGTAGTCTTCAACCCAAAATTAAACTAAAATTGCATTTGATTTAATCTATTAAAAGTAATTTGACAAATATAATACATGGCTTTAAAATATCAGAGCCAAGTCTCTGATTTGAGAAGTACAGTTGATAAAAAATATTTATAAAAACTTAAAAACATCTGGATGACTAGAGATCAACATACACAAGTCAAGAACAATGATAGAAACTGCTCACACTATTCACAGATTTCAAGATATGACTAGAGGTGAAATGCAAATAAGGCAGTGACCTCATCATAAGTAGTCTGGGAGAACCGCAGCCACAACACTTAAAACAAAGCAGCACAATTTACTTTTATAACTAGGGTAAGGAACATTACATACAGGGACACAATGTGATCAGTGTATTGCTTAAAATAAGACTGAAATCTACTCTCATGTCACGAAGAATCCTGGAAGAAACACAATACATGTTGAACATCTGCTAACACCGGTGAAGCAAAATGCAAGGAGCAGGATGGTTGATAACTCGAGTACAGTTGGTCTGTGATAGGAAACTACGTTCCAAGAAATCATTGAAACAAAAAGCCAGAAACTGCTTCAACAAATGCAGTGAAGTATGCTTTATTCCCTCACTAAACACCCAATGGCTTCACTAACACTGGTGCATTGCACGAACAGAAACTTACACAAAACAGTCAAGTCAGCACTATTCAGCTTAAATCCAGATTAGTCAGGGTCATGATCATCTGTACAGAGTAGAGAAATATTATTTTATCAAGAAACATGAACAGCAGTGGAGATAACTGGGCTGTTCACAGAAGATATTACTGACTTGGCTGGAATTAGACAGGGCAACTTAAAGCGCTCACCCAAAAAGAATGCAAGACAGTGTTAAATGCCTCTGTTCTCTACCCATGTGTGCCTGTCTTGAAGAAGAAAGATCTGTACACAAGACCAATCCAGCCAACTGTTGTTAAGTTACATAAGGACTGGCAATATTTGCTGCTCCTCCTTGGCCAGAAGCTGATTACAAGTTTGAACACATGCTTCCTGACCTTCAATTTGTTGTGAAATTAGACAAGTAGGAATAGATCCTTTTACGAGCGCATAATACATTAAGAAAGCAAAACCTTCCAATTGTCTTGGATAAACTGTGATTTTTAACTAAAAGTTCAGTCCAGACAGCTGATTATAGACACTTAGCACAGGCTATACACCCACCTGTCAAAAAGAGGGGGCAATAAACAGGATTCGTGGAGCATTCTTTATAGATTTCTCAAGCTTGGTAATGAGCAGTAACAATGCAAGCCACAGGAATAGCACTGGAGACTAAAGACTAAAGACTAAAGACTAACTGAAAACAAAGGCAGGGGGCAAAACAGATTGGGAAGCATGGAGAAAGGAATATAAATTTTATTGTGATACATTATCTGCATAGTTCTTATGGCTCTGAATAAAATAATATTCCTGACCACAGCTGTACAGAGGTAAAGCTTCACAACCAGTCTTAGATGTGATCAGAAGTTAAAGACTGATTAAACAACAAAGACCAGAGATGTAGAAGCAAGTCATAGAAGATTTGAGAATTGTGATAATGCCTCACCAAAGAGCTCCAATAGGTGATTTGATCATTTTGGATGAAAATTTAAGCAGAAATGTTCCCTGTGCTTCAGGGTGAGATGTCACTGGTGGAGTGGTACACTTCTGCACTTTTTGGCGTACAGCATCAAAATGCAGGAGATACAGGTCAGCAACAGTTAAGGAATATCAAAATAAAACTCAATTATACTACCACACTTTTCCTTTAATTCCAATTTCAAGAGCATTCCCTACTGCACAGGGTGTCATTTCCACTTATCCAACCAACTTCCTTTATCAAAGAAGCTGCATACAAAGCCAAATTATTACTGAGCTAGGAGTAGCTTTTTGCAACTTTTACTTTGGAGGGTCACATACTTAAAATAAAATGCTCATGTATTCTGCTTCCCAGGATACTATCAGTCTTGAACGTGTGCTCCATTGGTCTTGTCTTGTTCCCAAGGTTAAAATGTTGTACCACCTCATGGCCCTCTTCAGCTTTTATTTCAAATCAACTACAACCATTTTAAACTTGAGAACATCACTGGGAGAGGACATAAATACCTGGCGAAATATATAACAGGCTCTCAGCAAGTTGCAAAAGAATTTGTCTTCTTTTCTGTTACTGTTGATTATCATTTATTAACCACCATTAAAAATCCAGATACTGCAAGGCTAGATGAATTACTGATACACTTCCCACTCAGTAAAAACAGCAATTAAAATTCCTACTTCTTCAGAAAGTCCAAATAAATTTGCAACATGGACAGGGTTGAATTGGGTTGATCAGCAAAAAGGTCAAGGTATTTCACAAATGCATATCCCAATTCTTCAGGTGATTGCTGTTCCACAGTGAAATAAATAATACCTTTAATCATTTACAAAGAACACTGAAAAGTCAGCATGGAAACATGGCATGCTCCTGCCTCACCAGCTCATAGCAACCAGCTCCTTCCAATGATGTCAAAAAAAGCATTTCTATTTGGAAAGCCCATTATATTCAGAATTATTAGCAGTATTAGGATAGCAAGGTAAACTGTCCCGTGCTGTAATTGTGTTTTGTTAAAGGTGGTGAGGCTGCAGACTGTAAACCTCAGCAGAAGGTCTCACCACAAGAACATAATCCAAAATCCACTACACATTTTCCATGCCTCATCTACATCAGCATTCAAACAGTAACTGAATACAGTGCCCACTGCAGTCTGCAACCCAAAGGAGATCCTGGCTGACATTTCTGCGAAGGATATGCAGATTAAGCAGGGGCAAAATGGGTCCAACTGGTGAAAGTTGAAATGTAGATATAATCTCAAAACCGACAATCAGAAGAAAATCTTTTCACACATACAACAGCTTGATGACTTAGACAGCGTTTGGAGGCTGAAATAGTAATCTCCCACATCACTACTTACATTGTGAAACAAATACGAGGGAAGAATCTATTATCGAAGAATCATTTATTAGTTTTTGCACCAAGCTTTCCTTCATATTTGCCTTCTTTAACAGTCCAGTTTGTTTCTGTCAGTGTCAAAATCAAACTAGAAAGATTACTCAGACAAAACAATCTGTGTTGCTAAGGTGGCTAGGGGCTGACAAACAAAACCATCAGTTTTTGTAGTACCCACCATCACAAAAGATGATAGACAGATGTCTGACAATTTAAGCTTGTTCCAAATCAAGGAATTAAATACAGCGACCACTTGATCTCTGCTAAAGGAGGAACTTACTTACCAGTGAACATTACTGCCTTCAGAACGTGTGGGAATTTGTTACTTAAGTCTTGTAGAAAGAAAGCCATTAACTGGAGAACTTAAATCATGTAAAAATTTCAACATGGCTATTGGTACATCCACTGCAGACAACAATTCAACTCCACTGCATTCCCTGCAACATCTCTCCCTAATGCATCAGTTTGATTGGAAAATTAAGGCGCATCTATGCTGTTAACAGTCTCCTGGGTTGTGGAGGGCCTGCAAGGCTTTCACAGCTATTGTGAACTTATTATTATCTAAGTTTAGGATAGAAACAGAAGAGAATTGAGTAATAGTAGAGAAGGCACGTACTGACGACTATCCCTTCTGCTCTGCAAGATTGTCCTGTGTTCTAAAATATTAATGTAGGAGGTGAAATTCCTCCTGGACCTAAAAAAATTCATTCAACAAGATCAGTTTTCACCAGGCCTGGTCTCAAGTCAAATTCTCTAAAGGAAATTTAGTTTTTCAGTGAAACTCAAAGTCAATATATTAAAATCAAGAATCTTAAATTGTATTCCTCATACCAGTGCTTTCTCCTCTCCAGTTTTGACCATTTCCTGGACTTGATACAATTGCAGACAGGAATTTCCTGCATTAGAGAAAAGATTTCTGAAGAAGAAAATTAACATGGTTTCACTCCAGTGTTCAAACTCTCAGGTGTTTCTGGATGGCTCTCAGTGATGTTACACAGTCAGACTCAAACAGTCCAGGGAAGCAACATTTCCAAAGTGGAAGCAAAGACTAGTCACAATCCAAACTTGGCAACTGAATACTGAAGGATAGCAGTTGATATTTCAGCAGCACTCTCACAGTGATCCTGAATTAGGGATCTTGTTTGTACATTTTTCTGTGGCCCCATTGATCTTTCAGCCCAGAGAAATTCTTGGTAACTCAATACCAAAAATGGGAACGAGCCGCAGCTGCTACTCTTTTCCAATTGAACTTGGACATGATCTTACTTTAGACCATTTGAACTGAAAAATCACATTCAATAAATAATCTAACAGTATTCCTGACAAATCCAGATTGCCATTGACAGTTTAACACAAACCATTCATTTTAGTACAAGCTGAACAGACCAGAGGATTAAACAAGTCTCATCAACTTTTATTATAATTATATATCTGTATTAAACAACTCTTATATATAGACCATGAGTCAAAACGTAAACAGCTCAATCTGTTCAGCTTGTAGTAAAGCAAATAACCATTCCAGAGGGCTGAGAGACATCTTTGGTGGCAGAAGAATTTGTCATCAAGCCACCACCCACTTCATATTAATAACAGTGGTTACCATAACATAATGTCTGCATTAATGAGGTAACCATACAAAAATGTGTGGTGCAACACTTAGTCCATATCCACACTAGCAACATGACATTTTATGAATGAAAAAGCACTATGGATATTGCCAGATAACACAAGGTCATTAGTTAGGATTTAAAAGCTTGACCTTGCAGGAATCTCCAGACCAGAATAACGGGATGATTGTAATCCTGCATGGATACGGAATAATTAGGCCTATACAGCAAACATCACGTCTATCCCAGTAATTAAACAAAGCACATGCCATTCATCCTCAGATTTGCCTTTGCCTTATTTCACTCCACCAGACTCATCTGATTCATTCATTCAAGCTCTGCTTGGTTTGGTCAGACTATGCAATGGCCATAGTTTCCTTCAGAAGCAAAGTCACTGACAAAGCAGGTTGTGGGATCCCTGTGGAGCTTTCCTCATTTGGGACAGTGGTGTTTTTGGAGGGGTGGGGGGAGAAGAGGAAAGAGGCGGCGAGAAGGATCAGGTTCCGCCCATAAGAATTGGTTGGCGACAGAGGGGTTAACTCCAAGGGACAGAGCACAGCAGCACAAGCCCATTGTCCTTTAGCAGTGATCCAAATATTCAATCACTCGAGAGATAGACTTCTGTCCTGTTGTTCCCACAGCACACTAGAGAAGAGAGGAAACAGGAGATACATGGTGACCAATTCCAGGCTGTTGACCAACACAAATATTTGTAAGAGACTCCATATTTTCATAACACACTAGTTCTATCCTACTATCTAACATTTAATTAACAAAAATATTGGGAAGATATTGTGACAACAATTTTAGCTGTAGGATGAAAATTAAAACCATACACTTGTGGTATTCATCAAGGGATTCGTTTAGGAAACTGGGTAGTGCTTTGGTGAAACTGTTTCAAAGGCACTTTTAGAGTTCTTTTTGTCAAGAATCAGATTTTCCACTTAAAGGGTCAGTGATGTTCAGAACTCTTCTCCAGAGAGCAGTCAATACTGGGCCAGGCAGGTTTTTGATTGACCAGGGAAGTCAAAGGTCATAAGAACAGGCAAGAAAGTGCAGTTAAGTCCACAATTAGATCAGCCATGTTCTTAACGAGCAGCTGAGCAGGTTTGAGGGGCTGAATGTCTTAGTTCTGTTATAGAGTCATACAGCACAGAAACAGACTCTTTGCTCCAGCTAGTCCATGCTGACCCAATCCAAACTAAACTAGTCCGACCTGCCTGCACTTCGCCCACATCCCTCCAAACATTTCTTATTCATGTACTTATCTAAATGTCTTAAATGTTGTAACTGTTCCCACACCCAACATTTCCTCTAAAAGTTCATTCCACACATGAACCACTGTGTAAAAAAATTGCCCTTCATGTCTTTAAAATCTTTCTCCTCTGACCTTAAAATTATGCTCCTAGTCTTGCATTTCCCCACGCTAGGGAAAGGGACACCTGCCATTCACCTTACCTATATCCCTCATTAATGTTACCACTCAACCTCCTACGCTCCAGTGAAAAAGTGTCCCAGCCTATCCAGCCTCTCCTTATAACTCAAACCCTCCATTCCTGACATCCTGATAAATCTCTTCTGAACCCTTTCTAGCTTAATAATATCCTTCCTTGTAACAAGACGACCAGATCTGGACAAAGTACTCCAGAATAGGCCTCACTAACATCCTGTACAATCTCAATATAATGTCCAACTCCTATACTCAAAGGTCTGAGCAATGAAAGCAAGCATGCTAAACGCCTTATTAAACCTCCTATCCACATGATGCCAACTTCAAAGAATTATGTACCTGAACCCCTCAGTCTCTCTGTTCTACAGAAGTGCCTAGGGCCCTACTATTAATCAAGTCTTGCCTTTGTTTGTTTTACCAAAATGCAAGATCTCTCATTTATCAAATTTAAACTCCATTTGCCACTCCTGAGTCCATTGACCCAACTGATCAACATCTCTTTGTAATCTTAGATAAACTTCTTCACTGACCATTATACCACCAATGTTGTTCCTATTTCTCATGTCCTCTAAACTGATTTGTGATGCATCGGTACACAAAGTAGATTCACTCTAGTCGACACATAACCTCCCAGTCATCATGGAGCTTCTCTTGCTGCACTAAATACAGCTTCAATGGGATACAGTTTCGATTCTTAATGTGAAGACAATGAAGGAAGCTGCAAGATCCATCACGCCAGAATATCATTCAGATCTGAACATTAGGGGAAAATTCTATTTAATAATTTTTTGAGTGCACGATCTTCACCACAATCTCTAGAGCTAGCAGCTGGAACAGAAGCATTTATTCTGTACAATATCTTCCTCTTTTTAACAAGCATTAGTTTCAGTGAAATCTTTCAATCTTTAAAAAATAATTAGAAAGCCCCAGTTTGAGAGTTATATTTGCTTTGTTTCTGACTTGCTGGGGCAATTGGTACTAACTCCAGTACAAAGTATTGTCTATCAGAAGATCTTGCTGCTTAAACTTCTGAAACCCATCAAAAATGAGTAAAACTGAGTAAAAGTGAGAGGGAGAGTGCCAATGAAGTGAAGTATCAACCTCCATTTCCAGCTCACTAATCAACCTCATCTCTCCTCCTCTGGGTGATTGTTTTGATGACACAGTCATTCAACAATATGGAGTCCTGGCAGAAAGTGCCACTTGTCTGGCAAAGAGATTTTCCTGCTGATGTAATTAAGAAAAAAAACTGAGAATAGAAAAATAACTGATTAACAGGAATTTTGGCCATCATTCTCCTGAGTTAGGTCTGCAATCAGATCAGCCATGATCTTATTGAATGACACAGCAGGCACAAGGGGCTAAATGGCCTCCTCTGCCCCTAATTCGTATATCATAATGGTCTACCAAGGTTTTGTTAAAAATATTTGCTATCCAGTGGTGGTACTGAAAGAGGCACAGCAAACAAGGGTAACACTTCACATCTCTGGATGTTTTCCAGATTCAAGCAATTTTGAGCTTCACACGAAAACAGGACACCCATTTCCAGCAACACTGAAATGAATACCTGCCACTATCCCTTGAACAACTGTCACTTACCGTAAGATTCATGAAATTCAAAAATTTATGCAACATTTCAGTCATAATTGAGAAATCTCCTTCAGGTAAAAGCTCCCTCACAGTTGTGACATTCACCTGTAAGAACAGAAAATTTAGATTTAGGGCAATGTTAGGCATAGAGAGGCCAAGCAGATCACACCTATATATTTGGTCTATATTGTATTGTATTTCAAGCCATTCTCAGAGGACTTGACAGTCTTTCCCATTTGGGAGAGTCTAGGACTAGAAGGCATAACTTCAGAGATATAGGGTGTTCAGTTTGTACAGAGATGAGGAGGAATTTCTTTTGAGGGTAGTGAATCTGTCAAATTGTTTATCACAAAGGGCTGCAGATGGTGGGTCATTCGGAATATTCAAGGTTGACACAGATTTTTCTAACAGTAGAGGAATTGAGAGAAAAAGTCAGGAAAGTGGAGTTGAGGATCATCACATCTTATTAAAATTTCAATGAATCAATTCAGAATACAATTATTCTGTGAAGTGCACCAGATCTGATGCACTGTGGACATCAGATGTCAGAGCGAGCCATGATACCCTGACTAATAAATGGCCTGTTGATGCTGTCCAGGCAAAACCACAGAAACAGACCCTGTACTAACAAGATGGCAAACGTTTGAGGAAAGGTTATCTACCTGGACTTCAAGAAGGCCTTTGATAAGGTGCCACACAGGAGGCTGCTGAGTAAGATAAGGGCCCATGGTGTTAAGATGCAAGGTGCTAGTTTGGATAGAAGATTGGCTATCTAATAGAAAGCAGAGAGTAGGGATAAAGAGTTCTTTCTCGGGATGGCAGCCAGTGATGAGTGGTGTTCTATAAGGATCAGTGCTGGGACCACAACTCTTCACTTTGTACATTAATGATCTAGATGAAGGAACTGTGGGCATTCTGGCTAAGTTTACAGATGATACAAAGATAGGTGAAGGGACAGGTAGTATTGAGGTGGTTGCGGACTACAGAAGGACGTGGACAAGTTAGGAGAGTGGGCAAAGAAGCAGCAGATGGAGTACAACGTGGGAAAGTGTGAGGTCATGCACTTTGGTAAGAACAACAAAGGCACAGACTACTTTCTAAATGGGGAGAAAATTCACAAGTCTGAAGTGCAAAGTGACTTGGCAATTGTAGTCCAGGATTCTCTCAAGGTAAACTTGCAGGTTGAGTCAGTAGTCAGGAAGGCAAATGCAATGTTGGCATTTATTTTGAGGACTTGAATATAAAAGCAGGGATGTACTACTGAGACTTTATAAGGTGCTGGTTAGGCCACATTTGGAGTGTTGCATGCAGTTTTGGGCCCCATATCTCAGGAAGGATGTACTGGCCCTGGAGCCGGTTCAGAGGAGGTTCACGAGAACGGTCCCAGGAATGGAAAGCTTAACAATATGAGGAGGGTTTAAGGACTCTGGGACTACACTCATTGGAGTTTAGAAGGATGAGGGGGGATCTAATTGAAACTTACAGAACAATGAATGGCTTGGACAGAGTGGATGTTGGGAAGATGCTTCCATTGGTAGGAGAGTCGAGGACCTGAGGGCACACCCTTCGAGTAAAGGGAAGACCTTTTAGAACGGAGATAAGGAAAAACTTCTTCAGCCGGAGAGTGGTGAATCTATGGAATTCACTGCCACAGAAGGCTGTGGAGGCCAGGTCATTGAGTACATTTAGGATGGAGATAGACAGGTTCTTGATTACCAAGGGGATCAAGGGTTACGGGGAGAAAGCAGGAGAATGGGGTTGAGGAACTGGTCAGCCATGATTGAATGGCAGAAAAGGCCTAATTTCTGCTCCTATGTCTTATGGTCACCGGACCTGAAATGTTAACTCTGATTTTTGCTTCACTGGTGCTACCAGACCTGCTGAGCTTTTCAGACAATTTCTGTTTTTGTTCCTGATTTACAGCATCCGCAGTTCTTTCGGCTTTTATTTGGCAAATGTAATTATAGACTACTGCCCCCAAATAAAAGCACAGATTTATTGCACTCTCCACACCATGGAAGAACAGCTCATTTTTCCCTTAAATTACAAAGCATAAAACAAATTTTGATTCAAAATCATCTCTGTAGGATGATGCTGTTACTCACTGGACTTTCTTGACAGAGGCAGCCGAGAAGCAGTGCTGTGTAAGAGGCCACGATACAATCCTCCATGTGCTTTCCAGCATGCTGCAAGGCTGCAAAAGAAAATACAATTTACACTGATATTTTTCACCAATTTGCACTTGTGCTGCTGGATTTGGGGGAAAACACAGGTGAGAATGTTGAGGGGCCAGAGTAAAGAACTTTAAATTTCAAATGAAGGTGTCAAAATATTAAACAACTGCAAGCAAAGTAGGTAAAGCTGATCTGGTTAATCCTGCAGATATAGTTAGAATTTCCACTGTAATGAAAAGTGTATAATTTATATGCAATATATATTAATGCTCTTTTAGAGCCAGAAAGAGTTTGGTTACATCTCTGAAAAATTTTCTTAAAAAAGTCAGTGCCTTTTTGGAACAGTGCCTAAATCCAACATATGGTCAGAAAGCAGATGACACTGGATCCTTGGTGTTACTGGAAAGATATTTATGGTGTTGAGTTTAAGACAGGTAGGGCAAATACGTTTAGAAGAATCTAGCATTGAGTAGGTTCTTTAATGCAGAAAAACACCTGTGTTGGAATCAGAAGCAAAGTCAATTTCTTTCCCAGGAGGAATTCAGGGCAATACATGAAAACAAGTCATCTCAGAAGAGTTTAGTTGGTAAAGCTTCCAACCAGAATAATTTGGTTCAAAATCTGGTTATTAGAATTAAGCAAGTTTAGGCTCTCAGATATGAAAAGTTCATGTCGGTACATTTGGAAAGGACTGGAAAGGAATTGTGTCCATAGTCCACAAAAAATAAACAGAAACAAGTCAGCTAAGTAGAAACTTAAGAATTGAAATAGGATTGTTGTTTCTCTGTACTCGAGCCTCCGTAATAGTTAGTGCCAGGAAACAAGTTAAAACTTTGTTTTGCTGTTTTTAATGATCCATATAGCCATCTTCTATATTTAAATACCTGTTATTTCTTCGTCTCATAAACTTCTGTTGTTAAAGACAACCGGCAACTTTGTGTGAAAATGTGTCAGTAACTAACCGTCTCATTAATGAGCTAAACATAAAAGCAAACAGATGGTCTATCGAGTCAGTGTTCATTCTAGGATCAGATTTGTTTAATAATACTTTTAGCTGGTGATCATATCATTATAGACTTCTTAGCAGCAAAGAAATAGGAAAGAAAGAGGCCATGCATCTAAAAAATAAATTTCTTCCTGTCTGCTTAGAATTTCCAGACACATTTCCTTCTGAATTAAAAAAAAATCAGCTTAATTCTTCCATTTGTAGCGGCAGCTACAGTTTGTTTCAACCATATTGTCCTTCATATTCCCTGATCAGCTTGTTCTCAAATCATGGCCAGAGTAAATAAAACAAGCTATAAAAATGATCTGAAAACGCAGCACATACTGAGGGACACAACTACCTGAACTGCAGTTCAAAGTCCAGAGTTTAGGCAATAAGGTGACAGATATTCTTTTTTGTGCAATCAATATGGACCATTTTCACGGCCTTTATAAAGCAGAGTACAGAACTATCACTCAGTGTCACAATGATAATAACAAATGTGGAGCCTGGACAAATGGGGGAGACAGACTTTGACAGTTTAAGATATTCCACTGATTAACAGCTTGAGAAATCACACTTCCACTTCATTTCTTTGTCCCAAGTGCATCTCCTAGCACAGGCTAGCAATGGCTTCCCCTTCTCAAAACAGATTACTCGAGACCAAAAGCACAATTACTGCAGATGGAATACACATGGGACAATATTGCCATCCATCTAGAAGCAAAGAGCCAGAAGGCAGATGTCTACGTTCATTTAACAAATCTAGCTCCTCTGCAGTTGAAAACTTGCAGTTTCTTCTGTATCATGTATTACAAGCCTTAGAAAAGGTGAAGGAGCAGAATCCAAAGAGTGAGCACTGGACTTTAACCCAAAGAATGAGTAATAACAAACCAATACTTTGAAAGTAGCTAGACAGTAACTTCAGGAACTTCATTACAGGGATTCCATTTAAAATCTCTCATCACAAGTGTTTTTTCATACCTTTATTCAGGTCAATTTCTTCATCTTCCTCCTCCTTCTTTTCATTCTCATTCTTGGTAGAGTTTTCTGACTGTATCCACTCTAGAGATCCAGCAGTTTCTTGCCATTGGCCACTCTGGTCCTGAGGTGGCACAGGCGTGTCTTTAATAAAATCATCAGTCTCTGTCTCTGCAAGACGGGCTGCTCGCTCTCGCTGCAGAAACAGCTGGCAGAAGGAAACAAACATACTCTTGTAAAACCAAGAGCACATATACAAAACCAAGTGCAAATATGCCACATTGTAAGTCTATAAAATGTAAGCAGCAAAGAAACATGCAGAGATACAGATTTGGGAAAAGTTGATACTCTCAGAGCAGCGAGTTTCTGTAAACATGCACCAAATATTTTTCTCATTTTTAAAATGTGAAATCAAAGTAATGAAAGAGTAAAAATAAAAACATTCTCCCCAGTTATTCTCATTTTTACTGCAGATATTTTCCTGGGAACAAGGATCAGGGCATCCAATATTTATGTCTGTACTGACTCATGCATTTGCAGAGTACAGTGCCCTAAAGCTTCATCAGGAAATTAATTGAGTTTCAAAGTACCCAGCCAAATTAATTGTGGTGCAAGAATCAACCAATTCACTATTGGATGAGCTTAAACTTTATCAGAATTGATAAAGTCTTGAACATGTACACTGTTTGAAGAGTGGATCCTTGGTTGGGCGCGCACAATTTTTCAAATTCTCTTTTCAACTCACTGTTGCCTCCACATTTAATATTTTTGAGGATTCTGGATTTTTTTTAAAGGTTAGGCACATTCAATCAGAATGGAATGGAATCAATCCATGATATTTGATAGCTCAGTATAGGAAAGAAACAGGCCATTTGTCTCAGGCGCTGCTGGTGTTTATCATCCACAAGAGTTTTGTTTCAATCCTCTACCTCATCCTGTCATAGTAGATGACTAAAATCTGGGAAAGCAGCACTACACAGCACATTCACCAGTTTTAGGAGCGATTTCTTAGCCCCAGTCAGCATTCTTTTATTTCTTTTAATCATTGAAATAAAAATAACTTGTTCATTTAGCTTGAAAAACCGTGATGCACTTTGATTAGCTCAAGCAGTCAACTAATGAATGAATCAGCACCTTCTTAACCTTCAATAAAATGGTCTTCTGGAGTAGCTTAACCATAGCTAGTGAATCTGCAAGTAAGGAAGAGGTAGTCTTAGCCTCACTTGATGGTATTTGGAGTTCCTGGATAGCAAAGCAAGGCACAATATTTCAAGAGACAAAACACTATCTCCAAGATGACCACAATTGTGGTCTACTTCATTATTTTTAATTCTTATAAACAAGAATAGTGGACAGTGAATTGCAAGTCCCTTAGATTTTATGAAATAAATCACTTATTGTAAATACTTTATATAAAGACACCCACCTGCACCAAAGCCTCAATAGCTCCCACTTGCCCTTCCATCCTTAAGCTATCGTTTCCATCCACAGCACAGAATGAGTCAAAGGAGCAAGGTGTTTCCATGTCGACAAGACAATGTCTATTGCGAGCACTATGCTCCACAAGGTTAATTAACAGGCCAAGTCCCTGCAGGAGATAAACAACTGTCAGTTCTACCACCAAGGAGGACAAGAGCAGCAGATTCACCGGAATACAACCACCTGAAGATTCCTCCAAGCCACTCACCATTCCGACTTGGAACAATATCAGCCACCCCTTCAGCACCACCAGGGGTCAAAATCCCAAAACATCCTCCCTAACGGCTCTGGGGGAACATGTGCACAAAACAAACTGCAGTGGTTCAAGGAGGGGCTCACAAGCAGCTTCTCGTAGGCCATTAAAGATGGGGAATAAATGCTGACCCATGTTTATCTCCAGACAGTAATGTCATGACCATGGATCAGAGCTTCAAGGTACCATGGACACAACTTTTAACTCCTATATATATGTTCTTCTGAAAAAGAAATCTGCCACAGGCAAAAAATGACAGATGTAATTCAGTCACTGTGTGGCAAGTTCTGAGTGAGATCCATGGAATGTCATACTTGCAGCATGTCAGAAAAATTCAGAGAGGGAGAAAGGGGGAGAGAGAAAGAAACAGAGAGAAAAGAATAAAAGACAGAAAGGGACAGGGAGGTAGGCAGTGGGGGAGGGGGTGTGGGAAAAACATAACAGCAAATCACAAAGAGGGTTGGCTAATTAAAATGAACCTCATTATGACCAATCGAGGGGGCAGATAAATATTCAAGGAGACCCAGTTCAACCCTCTTCACATGGGAGCTTAACGGTTTGAGGTGGTGTGCCTAGAATTGCTGTAAATTGAGGAACCTTGCCCAGGTACTCGTTGTAACACTAGTAATGCCCATATCCCATGAACAAACAAATTAGTTCACACAGAGCTCATTCAGTTTTCCAGTTGACAGTTAAAAGTTAAATTTTACTAAAGTTGGATCTGGAGTAGGCCATTCAGTCTCCTCCCCCATTCTAGATCATGGTTGATCATCTATCTCAACACTATTTTTTCACGCTATCTCTCTATCCTTTGATATCACTAGTATCTATAAATCCATTAGTCCATGTCTTGGGCATTCTCAATGACTGAGCTTCCACTGCCCTCTGTGGTAGAGAACTCCAAAGATACATCACCCTGAATCAAGAAATTCTTCCTCATCTCAATTGTGAATGGTCGAGCCTTTATCCGGAGTTCTCCTGTCGCGAGAGTTCCCAGTCAGGGTAAATGTCCTTTCTGCAAGCATCTAAATCTAGCTTTTTAAGAATTTTTGGTTCATCCATCCCTCATTATTATCAACTCCAGAGAATACTGATTCAATCTCCTCAATTTCTACACATTTCCAGGAATTTGGGGTTCACTCAATGCCAAGTTTATCCTTCCGCATGTAAGGGGACCAAAATTACACACAAAATTCCAGGTGTGGTGGCACCAAGTTTCAGTATGATTGAAGCAAAACATTTTCCTTCTGTACACAGTCCCTTTTAAATAAAGGCCAATATGCCAATGACCTTCCTAATTGCTTGCTGCACGAGCCCGTTAGCTCTCAGTGACATGTGAACAAGGACACGCTGGTTCCTTTGATCAATACTTCCTAAGTTCTCACCATTTGAGATATAGGTTGCACTTTTTCCTCTCGGAGTATAACCTCACTTAAACATGTTAAATGGCATATGCCAAGCTCTTGCTTACTTACTTCGCTTGTTTAAATTCTCATGAAGCCTCTTTGGCATCCTCCTCAAACTCTTACCATATTTTGTGTAGTCTGCAAATTTGCAAAAGATTGATAACTGCTGGATCCCAAGAACCGATATTGTGGTACCTCAACAGTCACAGCCTGCTACGCAGAGAATGACCCATTTATTTTAATTATTTTCTTTCTGTAATCTAATCCTCAATCTATTTCAGTGCATTACTACCTATTCTATGTTCTAATTCCGTTTACTAACTTCTGGTATGGGACCTTAAAAATCTAATGTACCACACCTCCTGGTAACATCCTCAAAGGACTCCGCAACAAGTTTGTCAAGCATGATTTCTCTTTCATAAATTCATGTTGACTCTTCTCAAGCAGATCATTATTTTCAAAGTGTCTAGTAATCACGTACTTTATGATAAATTCTAGTATCTTCCCTCCTAGTAATGTTAGACTAACAGGACTGTAGATCACCGTTTTCTCTCTCACACCTTTTATAAATAGCAAGGTAACATTTGAAAGCTTCCAATCTGCTGGTTCTGTTCCAGAATCATTGAATTCCTAAAGATATTCACCAGTCTGCTCTTCCTTCAGCCAACTCAAACACTCTGATGTAGAGATTTCTGGATAAATAATGGATAATATCTATTAATTAGTCCAGTATTATTTTCTTACCGATACTAATTTCTTTTCTCATCCTCACTCCTGGTCCGTGGATGTCTGTTACACTTCAAGATTTATTCTACCTTCTTCAGTGAAAACGGACAAAATAATTATAGATTGTTTCTGCCAATTCCTACTTTCCCATTATAAAGTTTCCCATCTGCTTGTAATGGAACTGTTTCCTAACTGTTTCCTGTTTACATACCTGTGGAAGCTTTTATGGGCTATTTTTGCACTGCTTGCTAGTTAAAATTCTATTCTACACTACTTTTATCAGTTTCTAAGTCCTCCTTTGCTGAATTCTAGAGTGTTCCCAATTAGGCTTATTACTTTTTGTTGGCGAAGTCTCCTGCTCTGATCTGATCTAATAAAATCTTTAACTTTGTTTGATATCCATGGTGGACTCTCATTCTTTTAAGACACAAAACTTGAGGAGAGTATGTTTTCGTAACTGGAGGAAAGCCGACTTCAACAGGGCAAGAATGGAGCAAGGCCAGACAGACTGGAGCAAAAGGATGACACGAAAAACTGTAGCCAACAAGTTTACCTTTTAAAGAAGAAACAATGGAAGACAACCAAATTCAGACTCCTTGAATGAAAACAGGAAGCTAGAAATGAAAAAAAAAAGGGAAAGAAAGAGCCATGATAGGTGTCAGGTAGAAAATACAACTGAAAACCAGAAGGAATACTGAAGGTTCAGAGACGAATTGATAAAACATACTGGAGAAGCAAAGAGAGAATATGAGAAAAGACTGACAGCACAAAGGCAATCCCTAAAGTCTTCTCAAGGCACCTCAATAGTAAAAGGTCATTAAACAAAGGAGTAGGGCCAATAAGAGATAAAAAAGGGGATTTATGTATGAAAGTAAGAGACATGCCTGAGGTGTTAAATAAATACTTTCCTCTGCTTTACCAAAGGGATAAATGTTACCCAGGCCACAGTGACAAATAAGGATACTCTGTCACAAGAAAGGTTTTAAACTGATTAGAAGCAAGTGTTGGATTGGCTATTGATACTTAAGTTGACAAAGCACTGGAATGAGATGCATCCAAGAATATTTAAAGAAACGAATGTGGAAACTACGGGCACCATGAGCCATAATCTTTTAGTTTTTATCAGACCAAGGGGAGGTGCCAAAGGACTTAAGAATTGCAAACATGATATACGTGTTCAAAAAGGATTACACTGATAAGTTCAGTAATTACAGAGCAAGAAGTTTAACCTCAGTGGTGGGGAAGATTCTAGAAACAATTATTCAGAATAGAATTATTAGCTGCATGGAAAAATGGTGAGTTGTTCTGGAAGAGCCAATTTGGATTTCTAAAAGAGAAATCATGTTTGACCAACTTGGAATTTTTTTTTGAAGCAGTAAGAGAAAGGGCAATCAATCAGAGAGATGCTGTTGATGTGGTGTACGTGGACTTTCACAAGGCATTTGATGCAGTGCCACACAATTGATTTGAGACACAGTAGCAATGCAGATACAAAATTGGCTGAGCAATAGTAAACAGAGTAACAATCAATGGATACTTTTAAAATCATTATCCTGATATGCTGGTGACAATTTCAATGTTTTCAGATGATACAAAACTTGAACGCATTGCTAACAGCGAGGATGACAGGACTTCAAAAGAAAATAGACAAATTGGTATTGTGGACAAATAGGTGACAGATGAAGTTCAAAGCAGAGAAATGCATTTTGGTGGGAAGAACATGGACAGACAACAAATAGGTGATACAATACGCAAGAAATATAGGAGAAGAGGGACATGGCTGTGTGTGTGTATAGGTAACTGAACTCAGGACAGGTAGAGAGCGCAATTAATAAAGCAATTAATAAAGTATCCTAGAACTTCTTAATAGGGGCAGAGAGGACAGGAATAGGAGGCAATGCTGACCTTTTCTAAGACTTCAGAACCTCTTAAGTGTCTGACTTAGTTACAGCATTGTGCACAGCTCTGGATGCCACACGATAGGAAGGATGAAAATGCATTGGACAGAGTGCAGAACAGACTTATTAGATTGGTTCCAGGCACAAGAAACTTTAGTTATGAGGATAAATTGAACAGGTTGGGACTATTCTTGGAGTGAAGGTGATTAAGAAGAGATCGGATAGAAGTTTTCAAAATCATGAGAGTTATGGATAAACTAGATCTAGAGAAAGTGTTCCTATTCATAAAAGAATCAAGAACGAGGGGGCACAGAGTTTAAAGTGTTAGCAAACAAAGCAAACATGTTAAGAAATAAACATTTTTCATGCAGTAGCCATTAGGATCTGGAATGCCCCGCCTGGAAATGGGCAGAGGCTGTCAACTGAGTCATTCAAGAGGATTCTGGATGTTTATTTGAATAGAAACAACTTGCAAAGATATGGGGAATAGGTAGGTAAATGGCACTAAGTCATAATGCTGATCAGAGGGCCAATGCAGACACGATGAGCTAATGGCTTTCATGAGCATCGTAACAATTATGAACTTCTGGGAAATCTACCACCGTTTACCCGCCATACCTTTTAACATTTCCCCAGTCTACCCAACCAACTTGCTCGTCATACTTGCATAGTCACTTTTGTTGAAAATTAAGTCATTAGTTTTGGATTGAAATAGGCAGTTTTCAAACTTAATGGAAAATTCTATCATATTTTAGTTATTCTTCCCGGTAGGTTATTTCACAAGATCATTAGTTCATCCCTTCACCTCACAAAGTAACAGATCTAAAATACCCTGTTCCCTAGTTGGTTCCTCAGACTGCTCTGGAAAACTCTTTCCAGAAATATAAAAACAAATTGCTGGAAAAGCTCAGCAGGTCTGGCAGCATCTAAGAAGAGAAATCAGAGTTAACATTTTGGTCCGCTGACCCTTCCTCAGGACCCAGACCCAAAACGTTAACTTTAATTTCTCTTCAGAGACTGTCAGACTTGCTTAGCTTTTCCAGTAATTTCTGTTTGCGTTTCTGATTTACAGTATCCACAGTTCTTTTGGCTTTTATTCCAGAAATATGTCGTCCAACATTAGGTTTACTCACTGTATATACTGATTGAAGCCACCCATCAATAATGTTACATGCACCTCTGATTTCCTGACTTATACCCTGCATTCCATTACTGCTTTTGTTTCGAGAACTATAAATAACTCCCACTAATGCCCGCTAATTACTAGTTCCATCTAATCAGATAATATACATTGTTCATTCAATCCAAGATCCGGTCTCACTGATCACATCCCTTATCAGCAACACTATCCCGCTTTGTCTTTTTTGTTTCCCCTTCTGGAACATTGAATGTACCTGAATAATCAGTCCCGAGCTGTGGTTACTTTGCAGGCACATCTCTGTACTACCAGTTAAATCATGTCCATTGTTTTCTATTTGTGCCATCTATTTGTCAACCTTCCTAAGAACGTTGCATGTATTGAGATAGAATCCATGTTGCAGCTGTACAAAACTCCGGTGCGGCCGCACTTGGAGTATTGCGTACAGTTCTGGTCGCCGCATTATAGGAAGGATGTGGAAGCATTGGAAAGGGTGCAGAGGAGATTTACCAGGATGTTGCCTGGTATGGAGGGAAGGTCTTATGAGGAAAGGCTGAGGGTCTTGAGGCTGTTTTCGTTAGAGAGAAGGTTAAGAGGTGACTTGATAGAGACATACAAGATCATCAGAGGATTAGATAGGGTGGACAGTGGGAGCCCTTTTCCTCGGATGGTGATGGCTAGCACGAGGGGACATAGCTTTAAATTGAGGGGTGATAGATATAGGACAGATGTCAGAGGTAGGTTCTTTACTCAGAGAGTAGTAAGGGCGTGGAATGCCCTGCCTGCAAAAATAGTAGACTCGCCAACTTTAAGGGCATTTAAATGGTCATTGGATAAACATATGGATGATAATGGAATAGTTTAGGTTAGATGGGCTTCAGATTGGTTTCACAGGTCGGCGCAACATCGAGGGCCGAAGGGCCTGTACTGCGCTGTAATGTTCTATGTTCTATGTTCTAACTCTGGCTTTTTAACATTATTTGGCACTTTGACTTGAGCTAGTGTTGGCATTTGTTTCTGCAGCCTTCCACTTTTGTTTCTGACTGTTAGATTGGTGCCAAGGCAGGGGTCCCTAACCCATTACAACTCTGGATGTGATAGCCCTAAATGATTATGATCAATCCCAGGTGAGCAGGGATGAACTGGCTCTCATTCTTAATTCAACCTCCCCCTTGGTTGGTCACAACAAGGTACTTTTAAAAAGACCTCTTTTCCTTATGGATACTTTCCCCCAATCCAAACGTATTTATGTTTTAAAAGGAGCCAAATTAACTAGGTTTTCTTGTGTTAAAGAAAGGGCGAGTTGATTAGCTAGTCAGGTGAGGTAATGGCCTAGTGGTATTGTCACTGTACTGATATTCTTAAGACACAGGTAACGGGGCCCTGATTCAATTGGCAGGTGGTGGAATTTGACTTCAGAACATCTGGAATTAAACATTTAATGAGGACCACACATACATTTGGTGATTGTCATAAAATCCCACCTGGTTACTAAAGTTCTTAGGAAGGAAAACTGCTGTCGTACCTAGTCTGTCCTACTGCACCTTCAGACCCACAGCAATGTGGTTAATTCGTAACTGCTGTCCAAAATGGCTGAGCAAGCCACTCATATCTCAAACCACTAAAATGTCTAAAATGAATGAGACCAGATGGAAACATGGCATTGTCCAGGGCACCAGAGACAACAATGGCAAAAATCAACCTTGTCAATCACATCAAAGTTGTTCTCACTAACTTGCAGGAACTCGTGCCAAAATTGGGACAGCTGTCTCACTGACAAGTCAAGCACAGAATCGTACCATATGACATCCCAAATATGACTGTCGGGCTATATCTTGTGTCCCACTGGTAGGACACCTAGGAGAGACTGCAGCAACAGCATATAGTCAGGAAGGATGCCCTGGGAGCATTCAACACCATAATGTCTCATGGTACCAGGTCAAATATGAGCAAGGAAGCCTCCTGATTACCAAGTACTGCACAACCCCCACTGTACCCCTCAGCTGGTGAATCAGTGCGCCTCAATGTTGAGCACTACTTGCAGGAGGCATGGAGGGTGGCAAGGATGTAAAATATTCTCTGGGTGGGAGACTTCAATGTCCATCACCAACAGCAGCTGATTAGCACCACTAATTGGGAAAAAAAAACATGCTTGACCTCATCCTCACCAATCTATCTACTTCAGATGCATCTCTCCACGACAGACGTGGTAACAGTGAGCACTGTACAGTCCTGGTGGAGAACGAAATCCAGTTAGAACATTGAGGATACTATCCATCTTTCTGTGTGGCACTACCATTGTGCTAAGTGGGATAGATTTTGAACAGATCACTCAAGATTGGGCATCCATGGGGCACTGTGGACCATCAGTAGCAACAAAACTCAACTCAAATCTGCAACCTCATGGTCCGGCATATCTCCACTCTACTATTACCACCAGGCCAAGGTATCAACCCTGGTTCAATGAAAAATGGAACAGGGCATGCCATGAGCAGCACTAGACGTATCTAAAAATGTAGTGTCCAGGCCTGGGCTGACAAGTGGCATGTAACATTCATACCACACAAATGCCAGGCATTGACCATCTCCAACAAGAGAACCTGGCCATGAGCCTTTGACATTCAATGACATGCTCATCATTGTCAACATCCCGGGGCTACCATTGACTAGAAACTGAACTGGGCTAGCCATGTAAGTTCTGTGGCTACAAGAGCAGGCCAGGGGCTAAGAAATTCACCTCATGAATTTGCAAAACCAGCTCACTATCAACGATGCACAAGTTAGGAGTGTGATGGAGTACTCGCCCAGTTGACTGAATGGGTGTAGCTCTAACAACACTCAAGAAGTTTGACAACTTCTAGGACAAGGCAGACCACTTGATTAACACCATATTGACAAGCATCGCCTTCCTTCACCACCGATGCTCAGTAGCAATGTTTACCATCCACAGATGCACTGCAAAAACTGGCTAAATTTCTTTCAGCAATACCTTCTTAACCCATGATCATCAGAAGGTCAAGGGCACCAGATACATGGAAACACCACACCTAGAAGTTCGTCTCCAAGACTATCACCATCCTGACTGCGGCTGGGTCATCAAATTTCACCATCTGCCAATCCCCACAGTATTGGCCTGGAATTCTGAATTACTAGCCCAAAGACATTACTACTGTGTTACAGCCTCCCTCGTGCTGGGATGATTTCAGTACTCAAACTAGGAAGGGAGCAAAACTCTTAAATTGCATCCAGGAATATGTTTTACTAGCCAGTATATAGAAAGCGCAACAAGGGATGGGGGAGGTTCTGGACCTAAGCCCATATTAATAGGGAATATTTTGAAGATAGTGACCAAAACTCAGATATAGGACAGTTATGGAAAAGGACAAGGTCAGGCCAGGAATAGAAGTTTACACTGGGGAAAGGCAGGTTTTACTAAGATAGATATGATTTGGCCCGAGTGACGGGGAGCAGCCATTCACAGATAAAACTGTTTGACCTTTGGGAGGTGTTCAAGTCAGAATAGCAAGAACATAGGGCAAACATGTTCTTGTAAAAACAAAGTGTGAGATCAAAATCTTGGATGTCAAGGGACATAAGGTTAGAATTAAGAAAAAGTGAAACTGATGGTAGATACCGAAGGCTCAATATGGCAGAGTCCCTAGAGCAGCATAAGTGCGGTGGGAAGCTTAAAGAGAAAATTAGGAAAGCTGAGAGAATGCATGAGAAAGCATTCATAAGTAGAATACAGGAAAACCTGTAAGGGATTTTTAGATCTATATAAAGAGTGAAGAATAATAGGGAAAGAGCAGGAGCCCATAAGGGGCCACAGAGGGAATGAGTGAGGACCCAGAAGACATAGGCACAGTATTCAATGTATAGTCTGTGTTGGTTTTCACAATGAAAAAAGATGACACATGTATAGACATCAGGACGAAGGACTGTGAAATATTTGAGGAAATTTACAGAGAGGAAGTATTAGTGCGGTTTAGCAACCTAAATAAAAGTGGAGAAATTTGCAGTCCTGGATAAGATGCATCCCAGACTATTGAGGGGAACAAGAGAGGAAAAAAATAGGAGCTCTGGCAGTAATTTTAAAATCCTTTCTGGCCACATGACTAAAGGTTAAAACTACCTCAAAATGGAATTCTCTTTGGTGATCCCCAATCTTTGGACTCCAGCTAGGCACCTCCTCTGCCTTCAAGCTAAGCCAAATAATGTCTTGGATTATAATAAAAGACATTTCTAAGGTAAAGATAATTTTAAACAATAAAAAGGATAATTGATATAAACAGGTCAGAGACAGACATTTACTGTATTGCATCTACACAGCGCCTAGCAAATCAAAAACAGAACTACTGACCAAGGCAGAAGTATTGCAGATCAGACTGCCATTTTTTTTTTAAACGTTGATTAACAGTGGAGGTAAGGCAAACAGTTTGAAAATTTATTGTTTATGTTGGTTAAGTTCATTTTAATTACACATAAAGCAACCAGAAAAAAGAACCATAACCTGTTAACTAAAATTCCTGGTTTTGTACTGAAGGCCTTTAAGGAGGCTGAAAAGCTGCACTGTCATTTCTTGTAATTCGTACATATTTCTTACCAACACTCGAATGTCAAATCTCTGTTCCTGAGGTATATATTGTGGCACCTGAAGCACGCAGTTCATGGTTGTGCTGATGAGATTGTCCTGCTCACCAGTCTTCGTGCTGCCCCACTCTAAAAGGATAAAAGAATAAACAATGGATGACAATAAGCCCGAGTAATGAATGGTATCTAAGGAGTTTACCGCAAAACGGAGACTAACTAATGAACCAATAACAACCACCAATAATTTTGAAGAGATTCTTATGGCTACCTTGGAATTGACAAATGTCACTTAACCCATCAAACTCACTGTGTATTTTCAACACCAGCCATCAAGCCATAAACAGCCTCACTCGCACCAACTATGCTACACCTTTAGGGTGAAGCAGAGTGCCACAAGAACACAGGTTTAACAAATAGTAAACAGTCCCTGCTGTTATGCTTATCTGTACTACACACAGGAACAAAGAAACCTGGAGCTCAGTTATTTGTTGAAAATAAAGGATGAACATTCGCAATATGATTACCCTTTAGAACTGGAACACATTGAAAGCACAAGCCGCAATGACCAATATGAACAGAATTAATTCTATTCTGGCCATAAAGATTTTTGAGGTGCAATCTCCATTGTAAAATGACTGGGGCAGCGTATCATGCCGGCACATCAAAATAACACCACTTGTGGTTTGATTTGAGTCTCTACTTGTCAGAGTTCTTGTTTCAATGCAACAACTTTGGAAGGCCACACCAATCCTGTGTCGAAAGCCGTGCACTTTATGTTCGTGCAGTGGGTGGGTGCTAGTCAAAGCTGACTGCCAAAGCTAGCAAAGAGGGGTGGGGGAGGGGGGCATGATGAGAAGACAAGGATGGCCATGATGTAGCTTGTTGAGCAGGCCTCAACCCTGAGAATAGAAGAGGAAGGAAAACAAAGTACGTGGAAAATGACATGAGTCAAAAAAGGTATTCATGAGCTGCCTCTGTGATTAGAGAAAATGAACCAGAACAAATACCTAAATTAGAGCAATGTTACAAAATCTGCAGCAGATCATAAAATAAACCAATTGGTTCAATAATTACATCATGTCTGTCTTGTTATCAGTAGTCAATAGCTCTCAAGTCTAGAAGAGAGGAAATAGGTTTGAACAGCAGAGAGACAGCAACGATGGAGAAACTGACTTGGGCAAATCAATACCTTTACTTCCTGTCTCAGCTAAGCATGGTCGTTAAATGCCAATATCAAGTCATTGCCGTGTAATAAACTGCAATTTATGTAAGTGAAATAAACTTGCAGGGATACAGAGAAATGCAGAGGAATAAAACTCTGAATTGCTTTACAGAGAACTGGCATGAACTTTGGGCCAAATGGCCTCTTCCTGCACCACAATAACTGGCTACATCAATATACTTTAACATCACTGACATTTGAAGCCAATAGGTAAAGTTACCATAGTCCCACAGGACTGCTCTCTCATTAGAGACACATGACTGGCAATGAGTTTAATCTGAGGGTCACCATGTTTCAGGCAAGGACGAGGTTGAGGAGGAGGATCTCCATGGTGATTTCAGCCAGGAATCAAACCCGTGTTGCTGGCATCACTCTGAATTGCAAATCAGCTGTCCAACAAATTGAGCTAAGTCAACAAACACTATGCCTATAACACGAAGGGGGGAATATGATAACAAGATTTGGGGAGTACAGCTTTTCATTAAAAATATACTTAATCGTTTAACAGCTGTCTGTTTAGAGAGCAACGTTGATGATTTATATCTCAATTATTTCAACCCTGCATACTCTTGTTACTGAACTAAGAGCACAATGGTGCACAATTTTTATTCACCCCTCGAAGCACAATTTGGAGAAAAATAAAAACACAAGTTGCACATCTAACCTTTTCCTCCAGTTACTTTAATCTTATATTCATGCACTTTAGAAACCCCAGTGTAGCACAGGACCCCGTGACTTAGTCACCACAAATCATGTTCTCAAGACTCAGCATTTCACTTATTTACTCAATTTTGAGATGAGTGGCAGAGAGCAGATTGAAACATGGAAAATGGGAGGGGTAGGCCAAGTGGCCTTTCAAGCTTGGTGATATGGTCCCTCCGTTTAAAAACTTACCATTGTCATTAGTCAAATTTAATAAGACTCCAAAGATTGCTCTCATGCAGTCCTCCACTGCTTTGCCAATATGACTGGAGGCACTGTACTGTGGTAGGGAATTGCTGTTTGCCACGCAAACCTTGTTTTCTTCCCGATTATATCGTGTGATCAGCTGCTCACAATGTCGTAAAGCTCTGCAGATAAAGCACATGTAACAAGGCATGAAGAGGAGGGCTATTTGTATGGAGATTTGTAGCTTGATTCACATTAAACAATTTATTTCATGCAGCCTAAATCCAATTGAAATTCAGTATATCACAAAAGAATGATGATTAATTTCAGAAACTTAACTAGATTCCAGCACTTGGGGCAACAAAAATCTTTAAATCTAATGGTTTAGTAGTATGACAACCTTTTAAAAAAAAAGTTTTATATGGTAGGATGAGAACTATTTTGTGCTTTGCTCCCTTTTTGTGTCTCCAGCTGCTCCTTTGGTTGGGATAACGGGATTAGTAAATTATCAAAAGCTGACAGGTATGCCCCAGTGGCCTTGGCCAGTTGTCCTGTGGTCTTTAACTTCTCACTAATGCAGAAGTTCAAAAGGTGTGAATTCAATGAAAAATCACATCAATTTTGTGTACTTCCCTTTCCCACACATTCACAATACAACAGTTTGCTGTAATTTAAAACCTTAACAGAAGTAAAAATAATGACACAACATGCTGAGAATTCTCTTTGATTAATATAATTGGTGAATATTACACTACAAAGAACCAGCAAATACGTTGCGTTGCTAGCATGCGTACAAGAACTCTTACAGGTTCCAAATGATTCTCAATAGAGTTCTGTAGATCAACAGATTGCTGAATTAAACTGGCCACCTGAGCTTACACCCTTCAGAAACATCCATTTCATGCACATAATGAGTTGATAGATAAGCTAGTCTGGCAAGCTCAAACCCTGCATTACTGAAAATGATTTACTAAATCACAGCCTAATTGTTGTAATGGATTGAAATGCTGCAGGCGTTGCCTTGAATACTGGCTTCCGAGAGGAAGCACCAAGTATTTTACACACCAGTCTCAATGCAGCAATGGAACACTAAATGCATTGACTCTTGGCAAAGGGCAAAGACAGACAGGGGCAGGGACATAAAGGTAAGAAGAAAATGCTGGTCAGAAGCTGGGTTTGGAAATGAACGAGCAATCAGCCATTATAACAGCAGCAACCAACGCAGGCCTAAAAAGTGCCCCATATTGAAATTAGATAACTATGTGGTATTTGCCTCCACAATGATCATTAAACCTTACATCCCAGCAAACATGGAGATTCTTTTTACTATGCCAGCTATGGAACATGCAAGCATAGATGGGACAATGGCTGAAATGGTTCCGCAGTTTGTCAACAGTCCTACAATAACACAAGCACAACTTGGGCCTCAGGGAGCTTGCTTCCTATAAATTGGAAACTCTTCCACATTTTATTTCCAAATTTTAACTCCTGATGCTGTTAAAGAGACTGTATGTACTGAAGAAAGCTCAATATCTGTTCCAACTTCAGAGGCTTAAGATGAGTTTTACAACCTCAATGTCGTTATGCAGAACACAATGATTATGGAAGCCAAAAAGCACATTTTTGTAATCAATTCCAAACTGTCACTATGACTTAAAAAATCATATTTACATTATATTTTATTGTAGTTTCAGTTTAACATATTTCTCTTGGGCGTCCTGAATATATCACATTTACACGGATCTGCCAGCAGCAATTTAATCACAAAAACAAAAACCCAAAGAACTGCAGAAGCTGGAAATCAGACATCAAAACAAAAATTGCTGGAAAAGCACAACAGGTCTGGCAGCATCTGTGGACAGAAGTCAGAGTTAACGTTTCGGGTCCAGTCACCCGTCCTCAGAACTGTAATGTAATCAAAACTCAAAGGAAATGTACCAACACCCCTGTATTAACAGCAATGGTAAACAATGCCCAGAGTTTTACTGTTAAAGTATCCAAAAGAGTAAAGACTCAAGCCTAACGTCCTGCATGCTGGGCTGATGATACTCCCACTATAGTCCTAAATTGCCCTCAAATGAATGAGCAATTTATTTTCGCAGGACTATCACTTGCCATTACTCAAATGTGTTTTGCCCTAATTCTTCGGCACTGAAGACCTGTAGGACAAGTTAGCAGTGCAATTGAGATGGCCTGTTGACCATCAGCATAACAATATGTGACAGCTGGCTGCTCAATAGATGGCAACAATTCCGTATTGAGCATGGCACGTGTATCCTGACCTAAAACCCACACTTCCTCGAGATATCACAGGTTTAGCCCAGTAACATTGACAAAAGAAAAGATATACAAGATAATTTGACATGGGGTTGAGAAAATGGAAGAGAAAAAGATAAGAGCACAAGAAAGCAAAATGAAGAAACAGAAAAAGAAAAACTGATAAAAGCTGCTGCAATCAGAACATTTGTGCCATAGGTATAACTGTCTCTAATCTAATAATCAAGGATCTCAAATTTAATAATTATCATCAATGCACTGCTACAAGATTTCTGTTTCGTCTCTATTCATGGGCAAGGAAGCAGTTTGAAACTTCTGCAGTCCACATTTCACTTACCTCAATATAAAAAGTAGCCAGTTTCATACTTATTTAGCGAGAGATATCATTCAGCCCATTGAGTCTCTGTGCATCTTTAAAAAAATTATTCAATGATCTCAACTCCCCTGCTTTCCCCCATAACTGTGCTTTAATTCCTTTTTAACAATTAACCAGATTCCTTTTTAGCATTCCTAATATATTTGCTTGCACTATCCTTTCAAGCAACACATTCCAAATCTCAGCAATATTTGGATAAGATTCTGCTTAATCTGAGCTAATTACTTTACACTGGTCTTCAGATTATCGTCCTGCCCACCAGTGTTTCTCCCAATTTGCTTTATCAAACCCTTCAATTTCGGAGAAAAACCTTTACATGTCTAATTTCTCTATTGTATTGTAACTTTAAGGGTGTAGAATTGTTGCTGAAATACATTTCTGTTGAAGAACAAGATTTGAGAAGCCAGAGAGCTACATCTGTCCTTAGAATGCTGGATAATGACCACCTCCAAAAGTACACACACCCATCATTCCTTGACATAAGCACTTAAATCTTGATGGCGGCTGTTTACCAGTTGGTAAACATATTTTTTTATTCATTTGTGGGATGTGGGCTTGCTGGCTGTCCAGCATTTCTTGCCCATCCCTAGTTGCCCTTGAGAAGCTGCCTTTTTGAACCTCTGCAGTCATCCTGCTGTAGGCTGACTCACAATGCTATTAGGGAGGGTATTCCAGCATTCTGACTCAGTGACAGTGAAGGAACGGCAATATATTTCCAAGTCAGGATGGACAGAAGTCAGAGTTAACTGACCGAGGGGAACTTGGAGGTTGTGGTGTTCCCATATATCTGCTGCCCTTGTCCTTCTAGGTGGAAGTGGTCGTGGGTTTGGAAGGTGCTGTCTGAGGATCTCTGGTGAATTTCTGCAGTGCATCTTGTAGGTAGTACACACTACTGCTACTGAGCGTCAGTGGTGAAGGGAGTGAATGCTTGTAGATGCAGTGCCAATCAAGCAGGCTGCTTTGTCCTGGATGGTGTCAAGCTTCTTGACTGTTGTTGGGGCTGCACTCATCCAGGTAATTGGGCAGTATTCTGTCACACTCCTGACTTGTGCCTTGTAAAGGATGGACAGGCTTTGGAGGAGTCAGGAGATGACTTACTCGTCGCAGTATTCCCAGCTTCTGGCCTGCTCTTGTAGCCACTCTGTTAATGTGGTCAGTCCAGTTGAGTTTCTGATCAATGGTAAGCCTCAGGATGTTGATAGTGGGGGAATTCAGTGATGGTAACACCATTGAATGTCAAGGAGCGGTGGTTAGATCGTCTCTTACTGGTGATGGTCATAGCCTGGCATTTGTGTGGTACAAATGTCACTTGCCACTTGTCAGCCTAAGTCTGGATATTATCCAGATCTTGTTGCATGTGAACACGGACTGCTTCAGTATCTGAGGAGTCACGAATGTTGCTGAACATTGTGCAGTCATCAGCGAACATCCCCACTTCTGAAGGAGGGAAGGTCATTGATGAAGCAGCTGAAGATGTTTGGGCCTAGGACACTGCCCTGATGAACTCCTGCAGAGATGTCCTGGAGCTGAGATGATTGACCTCCCACAACCATGACCATCTTCCAGGTATGACTCCAACCACCGGAGCGTTTGCCCCGATTCCCATTGATTTCAGCTTTGTCAGGGCTTCTTGATGCCATATCACCAGTGACAGTGATAGTGATATCATGGCTACAAGCATAGGTCAAAGGTTGGGCACTCTGACCACTCACATCTAGTTCTATATCTACAAGACTAGCCACTAATACGGTAGATCATTCATCACTTACATGGATGAGTGCAGCTCCAGTGAGAAAAACAGCAGACTGAATCAAAAGGTCTCAATATCCATTCTTTCCAACATGGGCAGTCACTGCAGTTTGTACAATTGACAAAAGCATAGTAGCAACTGGGCAAGGTTTTTATGCTATCACTGCTCACTTACCTTTGACTTCAAGTACTGAAAAATAAGACCAGCAATGTCACATGAACAGAGTCACCAAATCACAGGCTTATCCCAGAAGATGTAAACCTGTTAAAGCCAGAGATAAAACCCTGGTTCAATGAAGAGTGCAGGAGGGCATGCTATGAACATCAGCAGGCATCCCTAGAATGAGATATCAATTGCTGAGGCTGCAACACAAGACTACTTGTGTGCTGAACAGCATTAGCAGCAAAAGATTGTTAGCGCTAAGCAATTCCATAACCAATGGACCAGATCTAAACTCTGCAGTCCTGCCACATCAAATCATGAATGGTGGAGGACAATTAAGCAACTTACTGGAGGAGGCTTCACAAATATTCCCATCCTTGATGATGGGGTAGCCCAGCACATTAACGCAAAAGCCAAGGCTGAAACATTTGCAACAACCTACAGCCAGAAGTGCCATGTAGGTGGTCCATCTCAGTTTCCTCCAGAGGTCACCAGCTTCACGGACGCCAGTCTTCAACCAATTTGACTCACGCCACATGGTAACAAACAACAGCTGAAAGCACTGGGTATCGCAAAGGCTACAGGTCTCAGCAACATTCCGTCAATAGTATGGAAGA